ATGCATCCACACGCACGCATAAGCCTGCGCTCTGCTAACTGCGCAGTAAGCAGCGACTGCGCTTGGGCTGCGCTGCAGTGTGGGCAATATTATGAGAATTTATTTGTCGAATAATTTCTTTTGTAAACATATGATCTTAATGAAACTTTCAGAGTGTAATCATATGGTAAATATGTGTGTACATTCCAAAGCACAAGTCTCTAGTACTTGAAATGCGTTTTTTACAAATTGGGGGAGAAGGGGGCGTGGTATCCAAAATCTGTAAATTACAAAATCTTTGTATCGATTAACTTTATATACAACGCAAATTTGAAGACTCCAGGTCTAAAAATGTTCAAATTAGGCTAAAAAAACAAAATCAATTTTTCGATTATTCTCGATAAAAAAGTTATCGGACGATTTATCGAAAAAATAAAGCAAACTCGTACTGCGTATGGTACACACGAGTATGCATGCCAAATTTCAGCTCTCTAGCTCTTATAACTTCTGAGATCGACGCACTCATACGGACGGACGGACGGACGGACGGACGGACGGACGGACGGACGGACAGACGGACAGGGCTATATCGACTCAGCTCGTCACGCTGATCAAGAATATATATACTTTGTGGGGTCTGCCACGCCTCCTTCTGCCCGTTACATACTTTTTCACAAAACCATTATACCCTGATTTCCCATTTTCAATGGGTTCAGGGTATAAAAAAAAAAACAAGAAATGCGGGTGAATCCACTGCAATTGCCAACGAACTGTGCGAGTCGCGATGTATGCGAGTGGCGGAGTCGATTTTAAACGCGTCGAAAGTACAGTTGCGCACACACACATCATATGTGTGTGTGTGTGTGTTTTTTTTTTGGCCCGACTTTTGATTGGCATATGTTCCTTTTGCTTTGTTGAAGGAAAAGAAAATTTTCGTAGAGGGCTCCACTCGACGACTTGAAATCAAGCTCTAACTAACAAGGCCAATTGTTGACATTTTGAGGGKCTTTCAGCTACAACTACTTCTTCTTCTTCTTCGTTGCCCAAGCCCCAACTTCTCATATGGTCTGTGAGGAATGACAATGAGCATTTTGCTAGCTAACAACTTGGCAATTATTAACTGTATGTAGCTCGCTATTTAGCTACGCGGATATTGAGGGAACTCATTAGTTTAGGGTACGGATTTCTTAAGAAATTAAGATTATATACGTAGACGCACCCTCGTTATACGCGGAAGACGCTATACTTATATAAATTTATCTTTGGATCAGAATTCTCGTCGCAATAACCGTAGGGACGGAGTCGATATAACCGGACTCTACTGTAGTTTACGAAAGATAATGAGAATGATAATGACAATCATATTAATGCCAAAATTTTTATGATACCACAGCTAAAGATAATAATGATAATAATAACAGTAATGTTGATAATTATATTTGATCGAAGAAAGTGAGAGAACGGTGCTCAGTCAAAGCTACACCTTGAAGGTTGACGATATAAGGCCCTCAATGATGGCAGATCCATCACATGTGATCGATTGACAGCCTGACAAATTATACATAAAATATTTTTATTTATTTTTTATTTTTGATAACATATGATAATGGCAATAACAATAGAAATATGATTATCAATGTTTATTCAAAAATGAATATAAATAATGTCCCGTTCAGTCTAGCGTTTTAACTCTAACCTGAGCCGCAGCTAGAAGCAGCATAATCCTTCATTCTGCTGCCTGCTGCCCCGTTAACAAGTGGGATTTGTGGTCCGCAATCGCCGGGAGCTCTGCAGCCAGAACCAAAGTATATAAGCCATAAAGCCATAGATTTCCATTCAACTTAAAGTCGCCGTCGCCGTCGTCGCCAAGCAGCAGGCATAGAGGCCGGCTCTAAGCCGAGCATTGTGCATGTTGTGCCGACATATACGGGCTAATGCGCAGCGAGCAATAAATTTAAATTTATATGGATGTTTACTTAATATTAAAGATTTATGCACAATATGTGGGCACAGCGACTGCAGCAGTCATTCACATGAGAATATACACGTATATATATATATAAATATATGTATATGTATATGATATATATATGTATATGAATATAGGTGGAAAAGGTCTAATAAAATAAAAATATGGCACAGCAAATGTGGCCGGCAATGGAGCCTGGTCATGATTTATGCCAACGCATAGAAACCAATCCCTGACCTATGAGCCCAAGACCCCTTCTAGCCACTCCTTACACTAAACCCCCCCCCCCCCCCCCCCCCTTCCAGCTGGTTTTGCTAGCCGCATGAATCAGCAGTAAAAATCTGTAAAGGCCCAGCAGCCACATAAAACCCATAAATGATTACTCAGTTAAGATTCTGCGCTCCACTCTCTGGCTTTTGTACTTTAATATACTGGAAACTTGGCCGCAGATAAACAAATAACAAATAACAAACAATTTTAAGGGCCGCTGTGCATGTGTGTGTGTGTGTGTGTGTGTGTGGTCTTTCTGCTGTTCGCCTTGTGCTACAATAAAAATGCGCATAATTTGCGCTGAGCTAAACAAAAGTTTCGCCCAAATAAACTTAAGTACAACTCCCCAAGGTAATGGATGGATGCGGGGGAGGTCGGGGAGGCAGGGATTGAGTTTCCAGGCGCCACAACACTAATTGAAAACTATTTTTAGGCAATGGCCCGCAGTGCCCGGGCGGGGGGGTTAATATGTAAATGGAGGATAACGCGAAATGCGCAAAACTTTTGCTGCCAAAACAATTTACGCGGCATTAAGCAAAACGCAAACGCAAACGCAAACTGAAATGCTCACCTTACCAGGCCCTCAGCGACGCCAGCACATATTTATTTATATTTGTTGTTGCTGTGCTCTTTTGGGCGGAGCCTCCAATTGTTTTCGATTAAAGTTGTCGACGTCAAAGTCATTGACTAAATAAAAAGCATCATAAAAATGAAAGCATTTAGCCCCAACTCTGATTCGTCATTGCCCCTCACACTTGGCCTCGCCCGCATCAAACGGCAAAAAACTTTGACAATTTTGGCAAATAATGAAGCCCGCACGTGTCGAAATTGTTTGCTCCAGGTGAGACAGTCGAAAGGTGAGACCCGAGTTGGCAGCCCAGAAGAACTTAATCCTGACTGCTTGACTGTGACTGAAGCTCCAAACTTTGATGGAATAAGAAACCCGAAAGACACTTTAAGCTCAACTTTCCGCCAATCATTGCAGCGCAGAGCCAAGCGCATTATGAAAATTAAAAAACAAAAAAAAAAAAAAAAAAATTAGAATGCGTGAAACTTGAGAAGAGAATTTCCTGCTGGAATTTGAGATTATAAGAAGTTGAAATTGCCGCCCTAAAACTGAAACTGAAGGTGAAGGTGAAAAGGCTTATTGGAGCTATTTTTAAACATGTGGAAAATTCGTAGTACATCAAGAGTTTTCAAGGTAGATAAGCTCTATATTTTCTTTAGATTATATTACATATGTATTAAATTAAAATTAGATCTAAACTAAATTCAAAGAGAACTTTTGATAGAAATCTTAAGCCAAGCTTCGACAGACTTGAGTCAGAGTCTTAGCAGATCTTAACAAAGCCCTCGCAGCTTAAATCAATGCAAATGAGGAGCACGAACCAACTATTTACATGGCAAACCGAAATCAAGGCAAACG